ACATACTTGGAATGTTGTTAGGACTTATTATGCAGAAAGTTTTTTAAAAGTGAATAATATTTGTGCTACTTCCACTGGAGTACCGCAGACGAGTGGTGCTGTGTGGGAAACATCAGCCCACACACTCTCTGGATCTCAAGGATTCATGGCCCAAGGAGGACCTGTGTTTATGTGCAATATCCCTGTACCAAAGCACTTTTTAGGCACTTAACCCAAATGAAAGGCATATATTGTAGTCAATGTAAATACCGCTATAATTTTAAGTATATCTCGTATACTTTTATATCCTCATTCCACCGCTCCAGATTGCTACCGTTTGCTGGCATTTTGCGAGCACTTCAATGTTTTATAACCATCGGCACGAGAGAAACTGGCAAGTGGGTTTTTACTGGTTTAAAAATATCATAATTTATCACAATAAAGATCGGAAATGGTTTCGCTCACTGTTTAAATTTTAAACTGCTTGTCAACAGCTTAAGTTTTAATATGCCACATGTTTTAGATTGGCACAATAAAACATTTGCTTTTACTTTTAAAGACACAGCATCTGTATGTTTTAGATTGGCACAATAAAACATTGACTTCATCTTTTAAAGACACAGTTCTGCATCACTTACTGCTTGTGGTCGCAAAGGTTTTTTTTTTTTTTAGCGTTACTGATAAGAAAGAAATTGTCAAAATCAAAGGCTCTTCATTCTTATATTGAGTTTTTAGTGACTGTGCTTATTGATCCATTAACAAGTAAAAGTCAATAACATCATCATGAGGTTGAGATACAGGATTCTGCCAAACATCCAGGATTAATAAAGTAAAAGTCAATAACATCATCATGAGTTTGAGATGCAGGACTAATATTTTTGTCCAGACACTGTTGTCGTGATTAAACATAAGTAACTGAAGACCAACCTGAACTGCAGTTGTTAAATCAACAAAATGATTGTTTCTGTGGTGTATTTCTCTCTTCAAACAATGCACATGGACATAGTGCATAGCCCCTAGTTTTCACAATTGCTAAACAGCAAAGTTGCTGAATTCAAAGTTATCAGTGGGAGTCTGGAAGGTGACCTCTGACCTCAAAAAGGTTGGAGACTCCATCTCCCACAGACAGCATCATCCGTCTGCTCCTGGACTTAAGTGAACGAACATCTTAGAGGATTATGCTGAAAATGAATTCCGTGGGTTTTTATTCCTAAACTTAACTTCTCTTGCTTCGGGCATTGCACTTATCAGTCGCCCCTCGTATATCCTGGCCCTTATCTGGGCTGCATCTGAGCCCCCCGAGAGGCCCAGCTACAACGCTTTCACTGAACAACTGCAGAAGCCAAACCGAGGAGTCAAGAAGACTACATGCCTCCAGATAATGCACTGGGGAATTAATAGGCTCTGATTGTGACACAAAGGAGTTTCTACTGACTTTTTCTTTGACAACTTAAGGCTAATTTGCAGTGATGACTGTTGGGCCTCTGAGGCAACGACGCACCGTTGCACCAACTTCGAGACTGTGTTGACTCAGCTCTGGTCATCAGTGAGTAAGGCTTCCCTGTCACAGCTCAAACACTTACTTTCATCTGTCATGGGATTTAGACCACTGGTAAAATTTACAGTAACCTTTAGCGTATTTAAGTAGAACCCACGGATGTGTACTCCCCATGTATCCTACATTAAAATGACTTACGATGAGAACACATCCAAACCACTTCAGTCATAATATCATATTTATGTTGACATGTGAAGGTTAGTTAGTGAGCACCCAACAGCTTAAACACCTTATGTTTGGTGAAGTGGTTCTGTTAACGTGCTCTTAATGATCGGTAAAAGATGTTTGATATTAGGAACGTACCACAATTGGGACATATTTCACCTGCAGCGCAGCAAGGACTATGTGAAATAAAAAGTTAATAATAATCCTGTATGTCGTACTGCACAAAAGGGTCACAGTAATGAACACATACCACTACAGTAAATCTCCAAAGATGTCATGGTTTAGGTCTAATGAGAAACATTTCAGTTTTGGCTAAACCTGGGAAAATTCAATGTCATGTTGATTAATTTAATTTGCACAAAATTCAACTTTTGGTTTGCAGAAAAAATGTCTCTTGTGTAAAATATATAAACGTGAAGGAAAATAAATGTGGTATATAATGTTTTTTTAACTGAGAATCAAGGGTTCAACAATTTTTTGGGTTATATATATATAGATAAACATATATACACACATACAGTATATATATTTATATACATATGTAATGTCAAAAAACAAGTAATTGATTTACTGAAAGAAAAACCAATGATTTCCTGAACTGAAAACCTATAATTATCCACATCTAAAAAGGTGAGTCAGGGTGAACTGAGACCTCGAACTGTCACATTAGGTTTATATGAGCATGTTATTTACTGTACATGCCCTTTTGGAGAATCAGAGGAATTTACTGATATGCTTTGAAGTCAAGGTGTCTATCCAGACTGTGGGTTAATGGAGCAAATTGCAGTGACATCTTGATGCCACCAGGGCTGCTTTCTTGGTTTTCTTTTTTTTTTTTCACGTGATGCAGCACAGGAACAAAATGTCCACAGAGTACTGCGCACACATACATCAATGTATGTACCGAGAACTACAAAATATATGCCAACTAAATGATTCATTCAGAAAATGAAAGTACTGTCAACGTGTGAAGTATCTGCACTTCAGTTCCTCGAGGCCAAAAGCTGAAGCCATGAAATGTGAGGTTTGGCCTAAAGTCAAACAGGGAGCCTTAACAACAGAACATCGAACATTAAAATGTAACTATCAATAATATAAAAAAATGTATTGTCCAATGGTGTGACTTGTGACATTGATGCAGAGCGACTGTAAATGACTGACTGTCTGTCAGTTGACGTAAGAAGGTTTCCACGCAGTTACACGTCCATTATCTAAAGGTTTCAAACTCAGGGCCGTGGGCCAAATTTGGCCCGCCGTGTGAGATCATATCAAATATGTATTAGAGCTGTCCCACCACTATATAGAACTATAATGTTTTGTTATTTTACATCGAAAGAGAGAGAGATGAAGAAACGAATACCACTGATGTGTGCCCTGTTTCAAATTTAATTTCTCGTACCTCAGGACCTAAAAAGTTTTGATCCAAGGAGCTAAGCTGAAGGTTTGGCTCAGGTTTTTGTGATAATTAATTAAATCTCTCTCGGATTCAAAGTTTAACAAAAAACCACCTCAAGGCAAAGAGCTACAAACGGAATCAAAGGGGTTGATCAGAACCTAGCACAGTGCAGAAAGAACTCCCACATCCTGCCGTCAAACTGCACACAAATTAGTACATTATTTGTGATTTAAAAAACAAAACAACATAAGGACGATGTGCCCTTCAGGTTCATGCATTTGGAAGAAAACAAACAACTCACTGCATATACCCTATGACTCTCACACAGATTTCATTTATTCAGATACAAAAGTGAAACCACTTGCGAAGCCAATGTTTCGCTCAAGTACTAGTTCAAGCATTGTTATAAAATTAATGCAAGTTTCAGTTTGAACCAGGCGTCCAGAGCATCAACTGAGGACAACATGAAACTGTGTCAAATGCTCAACTGAGGCGAATTACTCTATGCCCATCATCTTATTTGCATGCTAACTTTACTTCAAACAACTGCTGGATCAAAATATCCTGGGTATATTTCAAGAGGACAACATGTGGTTTTAGTTTTAGCACCGAGGTCGAGTCGCCATTTTTTCTTTTACCGTTGTTTTTCATGCTGGTGGACAAGGAGTAAATTTGTCGTCCAAGCACTGCACGTGTGCAAAACACAAACTCTGTCATTGTCAACTGTAGAATTCTAACCAGTAACTTTAAATACATACAACTTTGGAACCGGTGCCTATCAAATAACAATTACTGTATATTCATTATTGGGCTCGACATCACGCCCTGAAAAAATAACTACAAAGATAATGCAACGTCAATGAGCAAAGTTGAAACTATTCTCTGCTTTGTCATAGCAAAAGCTGTTTGTAGTCAACACATTCTTTAGAGACTTCATTCAGGAGTTATTTAAACGTGGTCAACATCCAAATGCTGCTGACGTCATGTTTACGTTTGAGACTGCACATAAAAGTTCACATCAATAAAGTGTGTGTTTTTTCCATGAGGTCATGCCCTCACAGTTCTTACATGAGTGCAGAGTAAAGCCAACAGCAGTGACATCCTGGGCTCCATCTGACTGTTATTCAACATGATATGATGTTGCATTTGCAGCAGTAGGAATAAATTATTCTTTTTTTTACCAGCAAACATCCTGCACAACTTCATCTTTTTACACTGATAAAACTTTGCCCTGAATCCTCCAGGGACTTGGGATGCTGCATCTAAACTGTACAAACAAAGAAAAAACCTGCACACAGTGTTAGGTACCAGAGCAATCGAACCCTGGTCATTTAAGACAGACTCTACTTTAAGTCGATTGTTGGAGAGTTCTCAGCTTACTGCTTATGAAACTACAGTAAGTGGCACTCGGGTCACTTGAGGTGAATTCCATTCACGATGCAAAAACGAACAGTGACATCAGTGACACCGTCTTTCTGTTTAACTCCATAGACGAGCTGCTGGTAAATAAAGACATGCATTTTCCATGAGGACAACATGTCCTTCGAGTTTTCACGTTGAGGGCGAGCCAAACAAATGGCAGCGACACCTTCAGGCCGCTGGGATTGTTTTTGTGTAAAATCGACTGTCTCTTATGCAGGTGGAGAGGGAGCAAAAAACAAAAAACAAAAAACGCTAAGCCGTGTTACTGCGCGTTTGCATGAAGACGCTGCTGTCTTGTAGTTGTAGGCTGTGTGGAAAAATCAACAATGAGTCAGGCGTGTGTGTGTGTGTGCGTGTGTTTTGGTGAAGGCCCTCTGCTCAGTCCTGCACATCCTCCCTCGGCTGCAGCGATGGTCAGCCAGCAGTGGATGACATGCTGTCAAGCATTTACGTAAACAGTGATTTGCACGGTTCACTTACCTGTGTTTATTTGTCCGTCAGAGTTGCAGAAAACGATCCGAAGCTTTGACGCTTTGCCCCGTAATTCCAACCTCGTTCCTTGCGTCAGAAACTAGCCAGTTAGCTGGAGTGGCTGCAGGAGCTAAGCAGCCTAACTTCACTGCTGCCGAGACACGAAGTCAAACGTTTGACTTCTCCGTTTTTATCCACACTCTTCACTCTCTACGTCGATAACATTTACGGTTCCGCCGCACTACAACTTCACGCAGCTCAACTCGGATCTGCGTGTACGCAAAAAGTTGTGCGCGAGCTCGGCCTCCGTTAGCGAAATTCTCAACGTCAGCTTGTGTTGACAAACACAAACCCTGCGTGGTTTTTGGAGAAAAAAAACACCACCACGACTTCCACAGAAGCTAACAGGCTAACTAGCACTGTTAGCTTAGCCCCGTGCTAACCACCTTAAGCTCTCAATCCAAGCCTGCCTTTCCTCCTTCTCCACAACTACACTGACAAATATCCTTCTTTTATCCGCCGTGTCCCTCTCGTGTCCCGTCGGTAGAGGCAAAATAGCGTCGGTGACTTCGAGATGTAACCGCGGCTCTGTTATGTTTTTTTAACGTTTCAATGACGGCCGCACTCGCGTTTGCAAAGCCAAGTTGTCGCTGTGGTCTCTGCTCTGCTCCGCCATTTCCAATCTCTCAACACAAACAAACAGGGGCTGCGCGCGTCCACGAGACCCAGCGTCAGATGCGCGCACAAGGGGAAGGAGGGAGGGAAAGAAAGAGAAGAAAATCAAATGAAAAATAAATTAGAGATAAGTACAAATGGAGTATCTACTAGAGAGGACTTAGAGAAGGAACACAAACCAGACACAAAAGAATGAGCCTGGGCAGTTATTAGGGCCATGACTGGCCTGACCAATAATCTTTACATTAGATTTTAGCCAATAGTTGCAAAAATATTGGGAAAACATACTTTTTCATACTATTCAGACATAAATAATTCACAATCACGTCGTAAAAGGTTTACAAAGAGGATTCACTGGTCAGAAATGTTACAAAATGCCGCACTGCTGTAAAAACAATGTCACACAATTACATATGTTATAATAAAATACATCGTGAGACAAAGTGTTTTTTAAACAAAAATGAGAAAATATATGTATAATTCACACAACAATATTTTAGCTTAACAGGTGACTAAAGTTCAAAACAACCGAAGTTGAAAAAAAATGGATACCGTCCATTTACAGATATGTAAGATAACTGAAGAAACAGCACCAACTAGTGTATGCCCATAAAAACTGAGCTGGACTAGTAATACATGCTACAAGGAAGCCTCTCTTTCATGCCCTACCTTTAATGTAGATTTACTGCTGGTCCTGGAACAGTTTGATGAAAACAGCAGCTGCGTCTTGTCCGCTGTAAGATTCCGGTCTGTGAAGTGGACCTCACCTTGTGTCTGTTGGCCTCCTGGATCAGACCACAGCCATCACTGTTGAGCAGCTGTGCCGTGGGTTGTTTTATTTTTTTCTTAGGATCTTGGAACCTCAGATGTTACTGATCTGCCATCACAGGCTGCCGTCAGGAAACAACCCATAAAAGAAAACAGTGATGACGGTTTTCCACAAACTGACTCCAACCCTGAGGAATGACTGAGTTACTGTTGGTAAACTCATCAATATGACATACCTGAAAAGAGGCTCCTCCTTTTCTCCAGAAGACACCCTGATCCTTATCACTTTAAAACACTTTGTTTACGACGCACAGTGACAGATAGGACAGGACTGTTGATTAATTCATCAAATATTAACAAAATTACTACTACACCAACTTTACATGTGAACTGTTGTTTTAGCTTGCTTGCTAACAGCAAATCAACTCAATGTCACTTCTTAGGTCATGTAGGTGTGAAAATCAACTCAATGTCACTTCTTAGGTCAGATTTATGTGTGATATTATATTACTTTGATACAGCAGAATATATCAGAACTTACAACTTTATATGACGCACTACAGCCATCCTTAAAATGGTCAACATATTTGTTGTAAATAAAGAAAATAAAGCTCTTGTGTTGTCAAGGGTTAATTGATATCCTTATAATTCCAATAAGCAGTTAAAATATTTTATAATTAGAATTATTAGTATTAACACAATATCATTTTAGGGGCTAGTGGTAGGATTCTCTACAGAAGGTTTTAGGCAAGATTTCACGCGTTTCAACCGACTACAACTGACAGAAGCCGTATCTCATCAGGTTCTGATCAGTTTCACAGGAATCTCTGTCTCTTCTTTGTTGGTGACAAACTGAAGCTCCACTGGATATATGTCTTTTTTGATTCTGTGCAGGTTCTCAGTCACCCAGGTCATCTTATCCAAAAACAGTTACATCGAGGGCAACTGGACGGAGTAGGTTTCTTGAAGACATTTCACCTCTCATCCAAGTGACTTCTTCAGAATCGAAAAAAAACCTCTGTTTGTCACCAACAAAGAAGAGACGGGGATTCCTGTGAAACTGATCGGAACCTGATGAGAAACGGTTTCTACTCTGTCCAGATTCCCTCGATGTAACTATTTTTGGTCTTTTGTTTGGTCTTTTTTGTTTTGCTACTCTGTTGTTCCTTTTCAAACATCTTCCTCCAGGTTGTACTCAGCAGGCTTCAGTATGATCTGAAGGAAGTTCTTCACCACCACAAGACTGGACCTGGACCTGTTCCAGACAGGTGTGAATACAATTAAAAGCCTAAAGTGCTTTGTTTGGATCCTTGAGAGTGCTCCTGGTCAGAACCCAAGGCCACTTTAAAGAGAGAAAGTGGTCGTTTACAGGGTTAAATTATTTATTCTATGATACATTGTTTCTGTTATTGATTCTATTTAAGCACATGGGTGTTTGGGGTATCGTCATCTCATGCATTGTTCCTGTTTTTTTCACTTTAAGCACATGGGTGTTTGGGGTATCGTTATCTCATGCATTGTTCCTGTTTTTTTTGTGAACCTGAGCAGTCCACATCAGTCACCGTTTTCCTCCTGGTCATTTGAAGAGTTTGAACTTGCGCAGCAGCGGCTGAACAGTCTCTTTAGGATAGGGTTTCAGAGCCAGACACGTGGGGATGTTCTCAGGCTGCTCTATCCAAAGCTTGTGAGAAACTCCAGCCTGAGTCAGATTCTCTGAAAGGGACGACAAGGCCTCCTCATCTGGAGCCTGAACACAACAAAAGACACACACACACTGTAGACGCCTGGACTGAAACACATTGACACAAGGGGCTGTTTCTAGTTAAATGCTAACAAAGTTATAATGCTACATGCTAAAGCTTTAGTTATTATGTAATACTGTGTTATATTTAAATACTGTACCTTGTTAGTCGCAATTGAGAAAAATAACGTAGGAAGCCACGACTGTCAATACAAAACCTCTTTATAAATTTAACACTTTAGACTTTAACTGCCTGTCAATAGAAGTCTGGTCGTGTTAAAAACATTTTACCGCTAAATGTAAATATAAGTGTTTAGTTTGTTATTTCGGCCTTAGTTTAACTCACGTCTCGTGGTTAGAAACAGGGCACAAAAGCCGAAATACAAGTATGTACCGAAGCTCATCGATATAAAGTCGTGTCATTTAATGTTAATCGTTTAAGGGAAATGCACAGAAGAAAACACACAGCTATTTCAATATGAGTGGCAGTGACTTACCCCCAGCACCACTTTGTGCGGGGGCGGCGGGCCGGGCCTGATTTACCCCGCCCCCCGGGGGCCACGAGAGCTTATGGACCAGATCCGCGCGAACAACCACGTACTGGACCAGCCGGCTTGGAGTTGCAGCTCCTGAAGCCGCCATTTTTCTCCCGGACAGGAAGTTTCTTATTTCTCTTCCGGTTCACAGCTGCGACGATGAAGAGAATACATTACTGCCCTCTAGTGGTTTCTTTCAAAAGACGCCAGCAGTCGAAGAAAATAGTGTATATTTCAATGACCACGGATAAAGTTGAGAACTGATGAACGTTAATAAACGAAAAAGAAGAGAAAAGGAGGATTAACGAACGTTTAAGGAAATAGAAAAAACACTTTCTAGAAAAAATCACTCTTTCTTATCAAGGGGATATTTATAATAATAATAATTTAACTGACTGTGAAAATTGTCACATTCCTGCCAGACCTGGAAATCGAACTCACTATCCCTGCACTGGTTAAGATGTGACGTCAAAAACACAAAAAAATGCTCCATGTCTAATTATTAAAAAGAAAAAGACAAATAAACGACCGTAAATGTCACAATAATTATTTATTAAGCATACACATTATAATATAAATATAAAATATGCTATTCTTGTTTTTAAAATCGGTGAGACATCATTATATCTGTGTAGAGACAGACGACCATTGGCGTTTTCTACCAAAATCTGCGGTCACGTCTACGCAGCCGTAACAAACCGGCCGGGATGGAGCCGTACTAGGTCATGGAGCGTGTCGGTTCAGATCCAGGGTCAGGACGAAGAACTGGTCTCAGATCTGCCGTCCTGGTCTCTAAAGGCTGTATGCAGTGGGCCCACGTACAGAGAGAGAGAGATAGAGAGAGCACAATAACCTACCATATAGTTTATTTCTTTATATATATTCACCGTTATACTGTATATGTCTGACTGTGGTCCAATGATGGCGTTAGCAGCGTGAGATTACACCACTGGTTTTTATCCCTAGTTCCAGTAAAATAAGTAAGGAAGTAAAGGAAGGAAATGAACATCAAACATACGGACGGTGGCGGTCACTGTTCTGAGTGAGAGTCTGAAATAATCGAGCTCAGACACGATGGATGGGGGCTCGATGAGAGTCAGCATCTGGGTTCAGTTCAGTTTTCTTCTCGGCCAACGACGACACAAAGTGAATCATTACATTTTCAGAAACAAAAAACTAATGACATCAAATTCTGCACGTCCACGTCCTCAGATCAGGACCGGGACTTTCTGCTGACTGAATCTAAAGTGGATGAATTCCCCCCAGAAAAACCTACCAAAGACGATAAAGAACAAAGAGTTTTAACAGTTTCATTTTCCTGTAGTATTATTATTGTCTTCATTATTATTTAAAATCTTTTTAAAGTTTGTCTGTGTTATCTTTTTTTTTCTTTTTTCCTCAGAGTTTGGTCGACATGCTGAATCCCAGTGTTTGCAGGTTTGATGGTGAATCAAAAGGAAAAATACTGAGCGAACCACTCCTGACGCTGGGCGTCCGCCGGGTCGATGGAGGCGTCCTTGGTTTCAGGAGGGCTTCAGGGAGAGCACAGGGAAAGTCACAGAAAAGGGAGGAAAACATGTATTGAGAGAAAGGAAATCACCCCGATCAATCACACATTTAAACGACCACACACTTTACTCGTTATCCATCTCCAGATAATAACACTTTAGCTTGGATCCACACTATAGAGGTATTGAAATGCGTTACACCAGCATTTGGCCACACGAGGGCAGCAAAGTCCCATTCACGGCAGATTTTTTTTTAACCTAATTTCCTGTTTGTTTAAAACTATTTAATACGATTAATAAAAATACATACAGATTGAAATAGAAACGAGACTAAACTGCGACCTGTTTTACGTACTTCCGTGGCAGTAAAGTATCAGAATGTCGATCTTAAAACCCGTTCTAGAATTTTCGTTATTACTATTCTCATTATAAACAAACCGCAGGCTGGTGTGAAGACTTTATAGTTCATTAATGAAACCTAAAACGAGCCTCAGCTTCACAGAACAGCGACCACTAGTGGACTGGAGGATGACATGACCACTGTACTACTTCAGGTTGGGTTTCATGTTTATATGGAAAAAAAAGTCTGATGTGAGCCGAATGTCGTTAGACAGTGTGTGTGTGTGTGTGTGTTAAACAGCTTTAACTTTAGCTCCTGTGTTTCAGCTGCTGCAGTTCATTCCCACACACACATGCAGCAAGATGGATTAAACTGTCCAGGACACACTCACACACACACATGCTCTAAATCTGCACAGTCGTGCTTTAAAAACACACTGGTCAGCATGCGTGCAAACACACACACTCACACACACACACTGCATGTTTTTACTGATTCATCATGTCATCAGCTCAGTTCACTGGAAGAATCGGAGAAAAAAAACTACAAATAAAGTGTTGATTTGAATTGGAAGCCACCACACAGCCACAGACACGTCTGTGATAGAAAAGATAATATCGACTTCATTTCATAATTGGTGCAAAAATAACCTCTGGGGGAGTTAAAGGGGTGAGGGGGGAGGAGGAGGAGGAGGAGCACGGCCTATGCAACATGCTGGAGTTCAGATGAAGATGAAGAGTGAATAAAGTGACACAATGCAAACAAAAAACAAAAAACAGGGGGGGGGAAAAAACCAAACATCACATACAAAATAGATAAAAAAAATATTCTGATTAAACTCCCCAGGACTCAGACAGCGGGGGAGACGACATGCACAGTGTGACAGGCTCAGAGCGACACAGACGACACGGGGGGAGAGACGTACGATCAGAGGAGAAACGTGACAGACATGCCTCTGTCTGCATTCCAAAGCCATTCTTCAGTCACAGTCAAACCTTTGTGTTTATGTCACTTCATTTAAACGATGCAGTTATTTAATGACTAACACAGTGGAGGGATCTTTTAGCTTAGCTTTCCAGCTAGCCATTCAAACCAGCTGAGTGAAGCTACAGCCAAGCAAAGCTAGCTACTTGAACTTTGAGATTTCTATATTTTTATATCATAAATGTTTCAATAGCACTTTGGAAAATATACAGTGAACGTTTACTGACTACTGTGACTGACTGTTCCAGCTACATTTGAGGCCCTTTTTAGCCAATATGAATAGGTTTGGCTACTACAAAGCTAACTCTGGCTAAGTGTTCGAAAATCTTCACCAAAATAGATATTAATGTGACATTGTTGTTGTTTTTTTTCCAAGTTTTATTTATCTTTTTACACATCAAGCTAACGTTGTCGTTCCTGCTGCTTTTAAATACTATATAATACGGAAACATAATCTGATATGCGGGTGTAGCAGCTACTTGTTAGCCGAACATTTCGTTTCTTTCGACGTTCGAGTGATTTTTTTTTGTTGTTGTCAAATGCAGGCCGGTGATTGGATGACGGATGCATGGATTGACGGGCTAGCAGCCCACTGGGCGCCCAGAAGGTCTCTCACCTCATGAATTTCTTGGGTTCGGTGGGAGGGGTCTGCGGGGGAAGAGGTTTGTTGGAGCTGAACTCGTGGTGATGGAGGGGGGAGTTGGGGAGGGGCTCTAGGCGGCTGGGCTGGGCCAGAGGCGGGGGGGGGGGGGGGGGGGGGTTGGGGGGGCTGTGGGGGGAGCCCACTCCCTGAACCAGTCATGACCACGCCCACACCCATGGCCACACCCACGCCCGCTGCCTCCAGAGCCCTGACATTAGAAGAGCTGCTCAATCTGCTGGCTGCTGTTTTCTCATTCTTTTTCTTTTGCTACACACAGACAACACAAACAGAACAGAAAAGGGGGAGGGAGTGAGGGGAGGAGGGGTGGAGGAAAAAAGGGGAAGTTAAAAATTAAAATAATGATGATGGTAACGATGAAAAGGTGGGAGGAAATGGGAGGAAAACATTTGGGAAATGGAGCGACGGGAAAGAGCTCCTAGCCTGGTACTGACGTTAGCACGTAGCTAAAGGCAGCAGATTGAACAGATCAGCATTAAAAAAAGAAAAAACAGACGCTGACGCCGGACGTGGTTCAGTGTCAGTCGCTCTGAGCACAACAACGACTCCACTCACACTGACTAACAAATGGCTTGGAAAGCAAAAGGAGGCAAACTCTGACGAACAACAGTCGAACTGAGTGGTGGACAGTACTCGCGTAGTACACATACTACATGTACCTATACTACAGAGGACATGTACTGTATATACCAGGGGTTCACCTTGTACAACCTCTGAGAATATCTGTCTCTCCAGTACTAAAAAAAGATGTATATAATATATATATACACACACACATATACACATATATATAACATATATAAATAAATATATATAGACACATATATAAAATATATATAAATATATACACATATATGTGTGTGATTTCATATGTGTATGTAGTAGTGTGTGTGTATAATACTATTTTATATTACAAATATATATATACACACACAGAGACATATACAACAGGCAGGACTATATTAGAAATATATATGACAATTAATAATCAGAATCAGAATCAGAATCCGATTGCCAAGTACCACCAGAGTTACGCTACCCATGGTTTGAAAACCCTGGTATATACTGTATACAGTATGCACATACTGTGAGGGCGGAGCTACACAATAAAACAGATCCCACTGGAACCTCCCCC